CGTTTGCCATTAATTATTTTGATATTGAATTATGGAGAGTGAATTTACTCGATATGACGGATGATATTATCAAAGAAATAGTGAACTAGATTTGTTAGACTGCAAAATTACTCTCACAAAGCGGAAAATTAAACGACATAACAAGACGAAAAAATATATAACCCACGACCGAAGGAAACAAGTCAAATAATTATGGAAGGGAAATTAATCATGGAATCGATCATAACTTTTTTTGAATCCCTCAAAAAAAAAAAATTGGAAAAAACTGAAAGGATTAACCTCGACCCCGAAACTTGTCGTGTCGCGAAAAGTAAAGAGATTTAACCACCGGATTACGAGGATCGATTATGCGGAAGCTGAAGACTCGCGTGACTTCAATCTCGCTCAAACAAAAGTCCCGGGGGAAAACTCACAACCAACTCACGCTTTCTATTCTTTTTTCTTTCAAGCATTCACCCGAATCCTCCCTCCTTCTTTTGAAAAGATTGAAAAGGACAACATGTGAAAGCTCTGTGGATCAACGAATTACGAGGATAAAAATCGGTTTAAAAAATCCCAATTACCTGTCACAAACCCTGACTAGATCGTCTTAATCGAGAATCAATGAAAGACTCTATTTTTCATACCAAATTGTTAGTCTCGGAATCTTCTCGTTTTTCCGCGTGAAAAGTGGTAGATAAGACCCCTGTGTGCACAGACCCAGTTTCTTTTCAAGAATATTCGTGGTTGAGGAGTGAGAACTGAAAAATAAGAGGATGAGAAATAAGAAATGCAAAGAAATTGAGGTCTACGGTGCTATTTAGCGTTGCAAAATGCATGAAATCGCCGGTGGTAATTTTCGTCCTCCTTTTCTCGGCCTCTTCACATTTGTTTACATCCTCGTTTTACGTCCAGGACGAGAAGCTTTTATCGTTTTCCAATGCTTTGCAGGCCCCCTCCCTCTCCCCACGATTTATGACTACCGAGCACATAATATCGCACTCATGAATATCTCGGTACTGTGCCATGGATATGAGACGCGTTATATTTGAATTTTTCACGAGCCTTCGACGTGGAAATATTTGAATTGAAACCAACCACCGCTTTTAGCCCTCTTAATCATTGATTGATAACTCCAAAGAATACCGAGCACTTCATTCCTCCGTGATATCCAAGATGGAAATAATAATGAATAATTACGTGATTACGGGAATATCCATTTTCTAGACATTCCCTGGATTTTCCTGGCCTGTTGAAAATCAAACCCCGTGGTTATTGGATAGCTTCGATTAGGCTTCATCAGAAATGGAATCTTCGTGTTAGGAACTGAGGGCGCAGTTGCGTTGTAGCCTAATATCGGACTTTGAGTAACGGTTACGAAACGCTTTTCAAGCTAAATACCAGTGGGTGTGTGGGTACGGGAGAATGGGGTTGGTGAGGAAGTTTCAATCAAGTTAAGATTAGTTAAGATAACAGGGCCCTTGTGAGCATTGCGTCGTTGGCAGAAAGCCGTCGAGGGTTGCTAAACCCAGAGGCTGTAACCCTCTCGGGTAGACAGGTTTGACCTTTACCCCTTCAGGTTTACCTTTTTCCTCAGAAATTTAGAGAGCCATCCATCAATTTCTTTTATAACTCTCATACTGATCGGTTCACCACTTCAAGGTGTGTATTATGGAATTTTCGTAAAGCTTTCGATATTCCTGGAGATGATGGTCACAGATTTATTTTACCCATCATAATATCCCTCTAATATAGACTACATCGGCCACAACTCCACTCCAAGCATCAACTTAATACTCTTTGTAAAACAGAAGTTCTTCAAGTAATAGAAGCCAAGTTGGTCGAAGTGAGCTTCTGGCTTCTTGGAGTCGTAACTCGAGAACATTGCCCAACTTGTTGACTACAGGTCACACGACCTTTTAAAATCCTTCGAATATGGATTCAGATTTGATTTACATCAAGTTTCGTGTATTTTATTTGCACTTGATTTCATCCAGTCCTGGAGTTATCATTTCGATTCTATCTTTCAGTTTAGTCTGTTGACAGTTGGTGGATATTTATTCAGTGTCAATCAATACTGACCAGTAGAATTTATTTTTTGCGGTGTCTGTTTGTTCCAATATTATTGCAACCGAATTTTCGGAAAGTAAACTGAATGAGGATGATCGTGTGTGAGCGATACGATACGGAAAAAAGAAATATATATCTTTATTTATTTCCATACATTGATGGGAGAGTAGAGCTTGTTCACTTGGTCCCCAACGCAAATAGTTCTTCCAGATCTCAATCGGCAACCAATCAATAACTTATAGACTCATG